GAAGAGCGTGTTGCTCCTGGGTCATTAGCTGCCTTCAGAAGAGGCAGAGCTGGACCCTGAGTGAGAGCAGAAAAAGGGCCCGTCCCCTCGCTGCCACCTACGCCAGCCGGCCCGTGACGTCCTCCACTTGGTCCTTGCTCCGCTGCGGGAGCAGAGGGCCGTGCTGAGCCCGTGCCCAGCCGAGCACGCCGAGCCCCGCGTGCCGTCACAGACCCACCCCTGCCTCCTCCAAGACCCCCTTGCTCGGGACCGTTCCCCTGTTCCCATATCTTCCTCCCCTCCCCTCCCCTCCCCAGCCGACGGTGCTGCGTTCTCACTTATTTTGTACAGGACTGGCTTTATTAACCACAATCAACCCCAACGCAGAGCTCTCCGAGGGGTCGGTGTGTAGCACGGCAGGGCAGCTTTGCAGAAGTCAGGCCGGGTCTGCCATCAGGAAGTGCACGGCTGCCAAACAGAAATCCCGTGGGCATAAATCCCCGGGAACCCCAAACCCAGCCCTGATCCGCCTTCCCCCTGCCTCTCCTCCCAGCTATGCCCCCGCTGCAGTGCACCTGCTCCCAGGCCCGTTCACCGAGCAACAGGAGCCCAGGTCCCTCGCTGCTCCTTGTCACAGAGTCCCTTGCAAGGGGCTGAGCAGCTGCATCCTCAAACCAGTTTATTGCCGTGCTACCTTAGACCCGGGGGTCTCCCGGCAGCCAGTCAGTGTTTGCAGGTAGCCAGGCGAAGCCCTGCCTGCCTGTGTTTCTATAGGGCTGGATGGTGTTGGCGGCACTGGCCGGCATCTAGCAAAGACTACAGCAACGGCGGGCCAGCCTCCCTGGCTCTGGGAGCTACGCACGGGGCCCCTGGGCAGCCCCTGGCCATGAGGAAGGTGCAGAAAAATGTATTCGCCCCCCCAGGGCACTCCCGCATCCCAGTCACAGCTGAGCTGCGCCGCGGCCGCGCTCCTGGCCCCGCGAAGGCCTTGGGAAGAGCGAGCGTGATTTGTTCTGTCTAGGCAGGCGCGTGCGGCCATGTCTGCAGACGTCTCAGACACGCTCGCAAACACGGAGAGAGAAGGAGATGGATGTGGAGAAGGCGCCGTCCTCGGCCACAGTCAACGGGCTCTGAATTTTTCATGAGCCGCGCGCGGTAAGCGGGCTCTGTCTGGGATTCTCAGCAGATGCTAGCGACGCTGCGGCTGCCTTCAGGAGCAAGCAGGCTCCAGTTGGCTGGGGCTCGTGGCAGGCCCCTGGGGTCACCGTGGCTGGCAGGGGGCCCGGCTGCCTGCGGCAGGTTGGGTTCATCTTGCAGCCTGTGAGTCTTGTTCGCATCCTATCACCAAATCCTGAAGTCGTCCGTAAATAATTCTGCTGCTCTATTTCCTTCCTCCACCTCGTTACCCCCCCAGTTGCACATTGGCCACTGCAAGGTGTATTAATTTCTTACCGGACCCCGGTTCTCTGTGATCATTTGTTCCGGATGCTACAGACCTCCCGCGTGCATGGCTGGGATCAGTCTCAGGCCATTTCCTAACTGGAGGCGAGGCGATCTCATGCTCCCATGTACAGTGTCAGATAACTCCCATCCTGTCCAGGTGCAGAGTCCAGGCCTGCGACTTTGCATCGGCTGGACTTGCCATTGGTGTCACTGCAGGACACAAGGTTTGGCCGTTTAGCCATCTGGGTAGATTTGCAGTTCAGCTTATACCAGAGCCAAAATGTGAAGAGGGGGGTAGCTGGCCAGCTTTGAACGTACGTATGTGGACAGTGAGCCCCGGTCATCAGTGCCTGTTGCACGCGCAAAGCTTGTGTGCGAAGGCCAGTGGTGAAAAGGACGTTCCAGGCCCATCAGTGGGACCTTTCCAGGGAAACGGTGTCCTTGCGCGCCAAGCAAATGGTCGGATGCTCGGTGAGGGTGTTTGGAGCAGGCTGCCGGGGCGGGGGGAAAGATTTTGAATCCCGGTGTCCTGGGAGGTACCAGGAACTAGCCGTCTTGATCGAACAGACGGGTTGCAAGGGACTTGTGCACAAGTGACTTCCCCTTTTACATTTGAATTGAATATTCACCCATCCACCCACCCACCCACCCGCCCATATACTTCTCTTTCCGAAAACTAAGGCATCAACAAGCATTAAAAACTAGCTGATGCATAAAATAAATCAGAGCAAGAGGAAGGCTATGATGATTCCTGAAAATAACATAATATAAAAGTGTTAGAACAAGACCCTCTCTGAATATAAAAGCTGCTGGATGTTAGGCTGTCACACTGTGTCATTGGATAAGCATCTTCCATCTCTAGCCATTTGCTTTTTATCACCTTGATAAACCTGCCAGACTCACGGCACTGCTCAGCAGGGAAGGGACGAGCGTGCTAATCAATACCTCTGTCATTTTTAGGATTGATTATTCTAATTAATTCTGCGGGTCTTTCAGCCTGGCTTTGAAGAGATAGCCGCTGATACCAGAGATGGCAGGTGGACTGGGGGCTAGTTTATCCGATCGTGTAATTCAGGAGATGAAATCTCCCTTGAGGCTCCGAGTGAAATTCCATATTGATTTTAAAGTACTTTACTTGTTTATAAGAATAATAACAACGGTGCTCCAGGAAGATTTTTCTTGGGCTTTGCTTTTTCCTGGCGTTTCCCGTGGCTGCGTGGGGTGCGCGCGCGCCCTGCACACACCGCCTGGGATGGCCTGGAGGGCAGAGCCCGGTTCTGGTTGCCCTTACGACGTTGCCTTCTTACTTTACGGGGCAAGTTGAATCTATCCCAGCTCCTGAATGGAAAAGGGTGCCTGCCGGGGTTGACTGGCTTTACCTGGGTTGTAAGTATGCAGTTTTCTGAAGCTCCTTTGCAAAAGGCACTGCACGCACCCATTATATACTGATCTAAGCACATTGCTGTATCTAACCCTTGCACATTGCTGCATGCTGTGGGGAGTCTCGCATGCAGGTCCAAATTATACCGCCTGCCCCCAGACCCCAGCATTCACCCCTCGCTGTATAGTGAGGTCTGGATCGGAGCTCTGCTGCTTGGGCCCATCTCGAAAACCTGCCGCCGAGAACAGCGAGCAGCCTGGCCAAGCGCTGATCTGTACGGAGGCTACGAGCCATCAGGACTGCAGGAGGGAAGGGATCTGCAGTCAGAGAAATGAGGCTTATGCAGGAGAAGGTCAGCCTGTGCACACACACACACACACATGCATGTGCACGCTCACACACACACTACTAATACAAAAATAAACGTGAACGCACATTTCCCCACTTGCAAACACACTCACGTGCCACAGAGCCCCCATCTTGCTGCAGACCTGGACGTCCCTGAGCAGTGCGCGCCGGGTCCAGGATCCCAGCGCCTTGCAAGGGACCAGGGCCCTCGCTGCCAGCTGTCCTAATGGAAAGGAGGTCATTTGGGGTAAGGAGCCCAGGCCCTGCTCTTCCTACTGAGAGTACAAGGCACCTGTTGTCAGCCCCAAGTCACTGTGTCCTCGTGCCCCGTGCGATGGACTGCACCCATATAATCTACAGTGACTGCCCTGCTATCATCCACGTGCATGTTTGCTTTTCCCTGCTACCGCTCCTGTGCTGCTTCTCCTCGGGGCCCTGGCATCCCCTGTGCCACCTCAATCCCAGGTAGGCAGTGTTTGCAACGGCAGCTCCCGCAGGGTCACGAGCCCTGGGATCTGGCTTTCCAGGGCAGGGCGATGCTGGCTTGCTCTGTTTGCCGGCTGGATGCTGTCACTCATTTCTCTCCTTGCATTTCTGCAGGTCGTGTCGTGCTTGCTGCTTGCTGCGGGGCCTGCTTCCCTGGCAGAGCACGCCAACAATAGCGAGGTTGCGGCAGTGCCCTTGGAAGCACGCTGCGTAGTAAAAGGCTTGCTGGGCTTTATGAGGTTTCTAAAGCACTTGAGTAGCTGAGAGGCATCCCACACCAGTGAGCCGGGGTCTGCTCAATGTCAGCCAAAGCCTGATTTCACACAGTCTAGTACAAGCCAGCTGGCAAAACGCCTGAGCCGCTAGCTGCAGCGGCCCAGGTTTGGGTCAAGGAGGTGCTTGCGGAAGCTTTGCAGGACTGAGGAGCGATACCTTTGGTCTAGTGACAGACCGGGGGTGCAGTTTTCCCTGCCCTCTTCCCGATGGTGGACATCCAGGCTGTTCGAGGGAGACACGTTGCTGCTCGGGCATGGCCCGCTCACCCCTTCATCTCTTCGCCGAAACAGCCAACAGACGAGCGAACTGTAGCACGGGTCGGACTTCAAGCACCACCTTGCTGTTCGCATCGGCACCTTGGCTGCATTGGAGAGAGGGTGTGAAACCCCTGCCCCTTCCCAGCACCTTGAGCCGCGCGGGGCCCTCGCCCACTTGGTTTCAGTGTCCTGGGGAATCGCTCGCCCAAAGCAGCTTCCAGTTAGAGACAAAGGCAACCCTGAGATCGGCACGGTCCTGACCCTTGGGGGACGGGTCCTGGCATCCAGACGCGTTCGGTAGGGGGCCGCAGAGGTCTGCACGCGGCGTTTGCCTTACTTCCAGCCCCTGTGCTCTGTGGGAAGACGTGCTCAAACATCCCAGGGCGGGCACGTTCCGAGCAGCTGCAATGCCCAGGGCAGGCCGGCCTGCGCTAGCCTCCTGCTCGCTCACACCCTCAGCAGTTTGTGCTTCCCCAATGAAAGCCTGGCCTGGTTCTGCCCCTCAGTGCTTCTCTGCACGCTCAGAAGAGTGTAAGGGGCCCACGTGCAAAAGAGAATTGGGTCCATTGGTGTTTAAAGGTCTGCCTGCTCGGGAATGCTCTAACGGGGCACGTCTACACGTGCATTGACGCCGGCTTCAATTTCCTGCCCAGTCAGTGGGAATGTGCAGGTGTTAAAGTGCATCAACGCTGTGGGTGAGCTGATTTGGGACTAAAATGAATCCCAAGTCAGTCCTCACACGCACAGCGTTAAGGCACAACAATGCATCTACACGTGCGTTACTGCGCAGTAAATAATCGGGGGTAAATTTGATACCTGCCTGATGCAGCTCAGCGCAGTCGCCATATTTACTGCACATGGTGGGTGTGCACGTGTAGATGCGCGCCCGTGCTGAGCAGTAACGGCGCACGTGTAGACGCACCCACTGTGTCCCCTGCAGTGAAAAAGCACTTGGACGGCTGACCCAGAGGGAAAATGCACAGAGGGTCCAGAAGAAAGGTTGTTCCTACAAGCGTGTGGAGGTGGTGAAGAGGCCCTGTGCACAAGGGTCAGTGCCCTGGCTGCCCCTGGGTGCACGCCACTGCTGCTCTGCTGATTGAAAGCCCGATCCCCAGAGCTTGCTCTCTGGGCAGCAATTCTACCATCAGCGCCCGGGCGCCGTGCCAGCAGCGGAGGTGCCCGAGCAGAGCCGGAGCACGCCGGAAGCACCTGTCTAGCGCTGCCATGGCAAAACGAACAAGGGATATACCCAGCCGTCCCCTGACCTCATTCATTTCTTGATTTCCCAAGCAGCGAGTTGCTCTGCCGCTCAGTCCTTGGAGGAAGTGGGGAGTCTACTGAACTCTAGGGAAGTTCAGCCCAAGGCTGGGCCCGTCTCTAGCGCTCGGTGACTGATGCTGGCGCGGTCTGATCCGGGGGATTGAGCAAGCCGCCGGGTGACTCAGAAGGCAGCACCCGCTGGGTACTTGCATCGTCTAAAGAGCTGAGTGCGTCATCGCCGCGAGCACCCTCCCAGGGCAAGGGCGATCCCGGGACTAGAGCGGGGTGAGCTGCCTTTTCCTGGGAATAAAAATCTCACCACAAATGGCAAATTTGGAGGAAGGAACTGAACCCCCTGGGGAGTTTGGGTCCAACGTGGCCAGTAATTGCAGCTGTTAGGGAGAAAACCTGGGGAAAGCATTTTGAAACCACGGCAAGGTTTTGGCTCACAAAGTGGAAGTCTCTCCATGGTCATTCATAAACTGCCCTGAGTATAAAAATGGCTCTTAAAGAAAGGGATGAAAAGAAACCCAAAGCAGAGCGAAACGTGGAGCTGGCTCTGCTGGTGATGAGGACTCGGCTTGCAGAGCGTCCCTGCCCGTGTCAGCCCGGGCTCTGGCCCTTCACGGTCCTGCCGTCTCACGGTCTTGTGTCTAAATGAGCCACAAAAGGTTTTCAAATACCCTTTTGTAGTGAATTTTCCTTTGCTTCCTAGAACAGCCCCTGTCTGCTGGCTATTGTCTGTCTTCAGCTTCCCGAGAGCCCTTTCCATGGAGAACTGGGTGCTCTAGGGACGCGCTGGTCTCTTGGGCAAATATAAGCTGGGCTCCCAGCACTGCCCACCTGGCTCAGAGAAGGGCCTGGACGCAGCCAGCGCTCTGCTCTCTTCTGGAAGATGCAGCTTCCAACCTCGTCGCAATCCTTGCCTTCAGTAAATCTCCTGCAATTTCCTCTCCGGCAGATGATGGGCTCTGTGTTGGGCCTGGGGTGGAGAAGGCGTTAGCCACTTGGAGTAGGCACTCCCGGCAAGACCGATTCCTTCCAGACCTCGTCCTACATGAGCACAGCACCTGCCTGCTCCCCACCTGGATGCACAATAACACTTGTGAGCACCTGGGAGAGCACCCCACCTCCACACACACACACACGGCTGCACGAGAACAGGAGCGGGTCGTGCCCGGCTGGCGTGGGGAGCCAGACCCAGCTGGAGGAGCATGGGAACGAAGAGGTGCGGGCTCCACACGTGTGTCCGTCCCCCAACTTGAATCCGGAGCGTCTGGGTCAGAGGGACCGATGTGTGGGCAGGGGGGAGCAGGCCTCTCTCGATGCCTTTGTAGGCATGGGTTCAACTCGTACCACGTCCAGCCCTGCAGGCTTTGGAGCATCCAGGCTGGAGAGTTCAAGGCAGCTGGACATGATGCCAGCCCCAAGCCTGCTGCATCTGACCCGTGCTAGCCCTACGGTGCATGGACCCGTGGCCGCAGATCCGTACGTACGAGGGCTGAGTCCCTGCCCCTCTCCTAGGTGTGCGAAAGCATAGCTGTTCTCCCAGCCCAGCATGCCACATGCAAGGGGTTCAGGGGCACAGCAGTCCCCAGGCCCCAGCGACAACGCTGGAGGACCCAGAGGCAGTGCTAGGAGCCTTCCTTTCCTCGCAAAGCAGTGCCTTCGCTCCACTCTCGCCCTTGAACCCGGGAGTGCTAGCGCCAGCTTTCCGATGTGTAGTGACAACAGCACCGAAGCCCGCCCAGATCCACTCCCCACCCCTGGCTACCAGCGCTTTTGCTCCCAGCCGGCGCTGGGATACGAGGGACGGGGCGGTAGCCCGCTGCAGCCTGCGCCTGCCTTTCTAGACGCACAACGTGTGCATGGTCCTGCCTGGACCGCAGCCGCTGGCAAACAGGCACAGCGGGGTCAGGGCGGGTGGTGGAGGCTAGGAACGAGCACGCCTTCCTTTGGAGCACGGGCATGGGAAGGTGAACTTAATTAAGACCAGATGCGGCCGCGCTTGGAAGGCCGGCCCTGGGCTGGGTGCCCAGCCGCTCGGACCGGGCTCTTCTCTGGACAACCACAGCTGGTTGTTCACTGCACGGGGCGCAGTCAGCGGTGCCAGGTCTCCAGTCAACCCTGAGACGGCGACATCGCCGTCGCCGTCGTCACCCCCTCGCTAATGGCTAATTGCTGTGCAGTCTTGAGCCCACAGATGCTCATCTCTTCCTTCCCTCCTCCGTCACGGCGCTGCCATGAGGCCGTGCTGTCCCGACGCGCAAGAGGATTCGGTCCAGCCCTGAAGCTGCATGTGGCAGGAGGAAAGGTGCCCCTCGTGCTTGTCACACCTGTAATGCATGGACGGGGCCTGAGTCTCCCATCGCAGGTAGTTTGTCACTAATAGAAAGGCTGCTAGAGATGATTCAGCTGCGCTAGATTGCAGCCGTTCCCCAGGACTGATTGTCTGAATAGAGCTACGAGGAGGCTCGCGGGGTAACATATTCTCCTTGAAGACACGCGGGCAATGGTGGTGATTACCCGTGTGCGCTGGAGGGAGGCTAGAGACTGAGTCTAACAGGAAGGCAATCTGTCTTGCACCCCCCTTGGAAAGCAGGACAAGAGGCCAGTCCCCGTCCTTCTTGGGTGTGCGCTGAGCTGAGTAGAAACTTAGCTGACATTTGTCTGGTGAAAACAAATCTGTATTTTGGCTGGGAGTTTGTTCCTCTACCAAGGAAAATCCAGCGGGCTCCTGTCTTGGGAAGAGACGTCCTCTCCCATTAACTCCTTGTTCCTTGTCCAGGGGAAGGGAGGAGAGGTGCGTGCGGTGAGTCTGGGGCTCTCCACCGACAGACGAACCCCTCAATTCATCACTTCTCTTGGAACAAACACCACCGAATCCTGCATTTCTTTCCACAATGCACATTGCGACTCCTGGCAGGACGTGAGCCCAGCATTTCCACAGCCCGGAGAGACGCAGCTCTGCTCTGAAGAGCTCAGGTCCACCCTTCCCTTCCCTTCCCTTCCCTTCCCTTCCCCTCCCCGAGTTTCCGTGGGCTCATTTGGATGGCTCTTCCCAAGGAAAGCCCTCCAGCTGCCTCGTAAGAACTTCTCCGTGTCTCTCTTGACCCTTCAATTGCTTGATTTATGGCTGGCGATCCGACCAATTAAGCTGTAACCTTTCCAGAAGCCAAGTGTGGGAGTTAATGATTGTCTCTTCCCGGTCCACGAAATGGCAAAATCATTTGTCAAGGGCTTTGGTGGGAGGCCTCGGTGGTGGCCGACCTCCCCGCTGCCCGGCTGCGCTGCAGAGACCGATCAAGCACGAGGGGAAGTGGCTCCGAGCAGGTTTCACGTGAACAATTATTTTAAGCTGCGCTGGGTTTATTTGCAGTCCAAAGACCGGTCGTTCCCTGAAGGCGTTGAGAAAATAATCCCTCTTCGGAAAGGGAAAAGCTAATAAATCTCTGAAGCAAAACAGAGGAGCGAAGCGGCTGATAAAAAGCAACCCACGTAAAACTAGGGTGAGAATCTAATAGCGGCAGCTCCACAATAGGGGTGCAGGGATGCCTGCAACAGGGACCGCTCGCTGGGTCAGGGGTCCGAGCTTGCGGGGAGCGGGGGGCAGGCGGGGAACGGAGCGCGCACACGCTCGAGGAAACCTGCATGCACCTTTGCACGTGCCTCCCCCGGCTCCGGCCACCCCAAAGCTTCTCACGTGGAAAACGGAGAGCCCGCCGGGCCCTCAGACTGCCCAAACTCGCTGCCCGGTGCACAGCATCCCCAGGAGACGAACGGCTGCAGGGGCCTGCACCTTGCTAAGCAGCACGGACTCATCGCGGCTCGTTCTGGGCCCCAAAACCCACCGCAGAAGTCTGGCACCACAGAAAGTGCCGTGCCTTGACGGGCGACCGGGGACCGCCTGGAGAACAGAAAGATCCCAAGGCAAGAGAGATGCACGGGAGAGATGTGAGCTAAAAACACACAACGTAATGGAGGAAGTGAGTCACCCGGGCCAGAGCCAGGGCAGCACTAATAAGTACCATCGCCGAGACAAATATACCCCCCAGCCCACGCAGCGCGGGGGGGCTTTCTGCTTCGCTTTGCAGCAGCGGAAGAGGAGGAAGTGGGAAAAGGGCCATCCCTTGGCCAATGCAGGCTCGCTCCCGCCTGTTCGGTTTGCGAATGCAGCCTTCAGCCTGGCCCAGCAGTGGGATCGCACCCCTTTCCCTGGGAGACTCCCCCCTGGCCGGATACCTCTTGCAGCCAGGCCACAGTAGAAGTATTAGCATGGCTTCGTATCCAGCCTGTATCACTCCACGACAGCCCCCTCCCTGGAGGGCTCCTCTCCCACCTTGGAGGTCCCCAGCCCGCAGACAGCGCGTGGGCTGCGATGGTTGCTTAGGCACCCCGTAGATGTTTGGGTCACTTCTTCCTTTTCCTCCTACATCCCTTCCTCCCCGATCCTTAGTCACGTGTGTGGCTCTTCTCCAAACCCCCTGCAGAGGTGAATGCTCTGCTCCAGATGTGGCTGCATGTAGGGTGCTGGAGGGGAGGGGAGATTGGCTGGGGAGAGGGAGACCGAGCACGAACCATGTGAATCCAGGGTGACTTTTCTGTAGAAAGCTATAGAGGGAGGGGGCCAGATGGCAGAGGTGGCACAAGGAGAGTTGCCCCCAGCTTGAACTGGTGCAGGGAGCAGGAACCAGCTGGTGTTGGCCCCAGGTCACCGTGGCTGTTCCTCTTCTCTGTTTTCTTGCAGACTCCAAGTTCTCCAAACGCTTCTGCTCTGACCTTTAGAGCCTGGCAGGGCCCACAGCATGGTGAGCGAGGGCATCTCCCCCGCGGTGGTGCTGACGAGATGGAAAGAACCACGCCTGAGGATGGATGCTGCAGGCCAGAGGAAGACGTGGGCGCTCTCCCGTTCCCGCAGACCCTGGCCTTCCCCTTTGTGCTGAGAAGAGAGCACTTTACGTGCTGCTTGGCTAGGGGTTTGGACCCCGATTTCAGTGCCAGGGAGAGGGGCCAGAGCGGATCCCCGGTCAGACGAGGGCCCGCGGCCCCAGAGGTCGGCGGCGCTCACATCCGTGGGTTTGGCTTGGGCAGGCGAACAGACACGAGGAGCTCTGGGCAGAGCGGGCAGCGATGCAGAGACCCGTCTCAGCCTGCCGTGGCCTCAAACAGCATTCAGCTCTGCTGCGTGAACCATTTGTTCTAATTACAAGCACAGACGAGGCCCCTGGCAATGGAGCCCACTTTGTTAGCGGCTCCTTTCCATCAGGAGGAACAGAGAGAAACCTCGAGCCGTGCCCTTCCCCTCCGGCCGGCCGGCAGCCGGCAGAGATAAGGGAGCTCTGGGAAACGCAAAGGAATCTGTTAGAATAACGGAGAAAACAGATGAGGGGTCGCGGCTCCACATCCAACCCGGTCTGACCTCGGGGAGGGAAGGAAGGGAGGTCTGGGTTTTCCACTGACCCAGCTGCCCCGGCCTCTGGAGGCTGTTGGAAACTGTGAGTGTTCCCATTATGACACCGGGCACCTTGCTGGAAAACACAAAGGAGGTTGTTTGAGGCATTGTTTGAAGCCCGAAGGCCTGCAGGAAGAGGGGAAGTTGCTTTCATCTCTCTGTTTCTGTTAAGCCACCTGAAAAACGGGGATAATACTGCTCCATCCCACTCGTGGTGGCTCAGTGGCTTCGCACTCGGAGCCCCGCGAGGAAAGGCGAGAGAGCACAAAGCAGCGCGATCGGCACGCTTGGCCAGTGCGTTTCTGAGGACGGACAGCCCGGGGTCGCAGAGACGGGGACAGACCCCTTGCGAGGCACGCAGCCCAACCAGAACGGAGCACGACTCCTTCCCGCGGGTCCTTCCTGCCCCCCGCGGGGTGGAAGCAATAGCCGGGGAGGCTGGAGTTTGACCTCAGCCAGATTTACGCATTTCAATCTGCCACGGGCCCGTGTTATAACTCATCCTGTCGCTCGTTTGTCTTGCTCTGCGGTCTTTGTTTCCCCGGCGTCTCATGCAAATGATAGATTGGAGAACGGCTCCCTGGCCTGGCACAGGGCTGCGTGGCCAGGCTTTTGGAAGGGAGCGTGCCCTCCTTATTGAAGGGACGCAGCCTACGGTCACAGCTGACCGTTGCAAGGGCCAGCGAAGGCTGGCACTGGCGTTGCCCTCGGCTCCTTATCTAGCATTAAACAAGAGCTAGAAGTGGCCACTGGGCCCAGCACCTCATCCCTCTTCTCTCCTACATCAAAGCCAACTCCGGCGACAGCCCGACATCAGGGTCGAGCAGCAGCAGACTCGCTCAACCACGCTGACCCCCGGGAGACGCGCTGCCTTGGGCCAAATGTGGCAGATTAGCAAGCTGACGGGCAATAAAAGGACCCCAGAGCTGGAGCATCTCACATGCAAACCAAACAGAGCGTGTCCAGGCAGGGATTTCTTTAGAGGCCACTGAAACGCAGCCACCGCGGAGGAAGAGGGGGCAGAGAGCGCGGGGACCGGGCCGGGTTTCTACCAGCACTGAGATCCGCCGTTCAGCCGAGTCTGGGGGGGCCTAGATAACCTCTACGTGGAGGCTGCCGTGGTATTAGTGTGGCCCCACAGACTGGTCGTGGGTTAATGGTTAACTTCTCTAGCAAATGCCCCCCAAATCTCAGAGCCGTTCTTATGACGGGAAGACCCTACGATGCCCAGCTCCACCGCTGCAGCAGCACCGACCCCGGCACGTTGCCCCGCCAGCAGCTGGCACCGTGTCCGGTACGGCTTCCCTCCCCAGAGGCCAGGCAGGGCCAGGACTCTCCAGACACCCTCATTTTCCCCGACACGCTGACCTGCCTGTCCTCCACGCTCTCTGCTTTGCAATTTTAAAACCAATTTCCCACCATCTGCATCCTCTGCCAGGAGACTCGCACGTTGTGCTCTTCTAAGACGCCAGCCCGACCTTCCCCCGGCCCCGCTCCCAGCCTCCAAACCAAATCACCAGCTGCCGCTAAAACGAACCTGCAGATGAAACCGTTCCCCTCGCCTCCCCCCGCTGCGTCGGCAGGATTTCTGAAATCATGCATAAAGCAAGAGCCACTCGCTAGGTTTGTGTTTGTGCTCTTAAAAACCACGGGCTTTGGGCCAGAGATCAAGAATGCTCCAATAATAAATTCCTTTGCGCATTTTTTGTTTTAGAAAAGCAAAGTCCAGGATGTTCTGCCCTGGGAATTCAATCGCCGCTTCTCCTGGGTCATCACAAGACGAAGCGATGGCACAGGAGCGCTGCCTCCCTTTGCTCTTGCACCGGAGGCAGGTACCTGGGGGGCGAGCGTCCAGGCCTGCCATCCGCGCTGGCGCTCCCCCAACTCACAGGATCACAGACAGCGAGGGTGGAAGGGAGCTCAGGAGATCACATCGAGTCCAACCCCCTGCTCCAAGCAGGACCAGCCCCAACTGCATCATCCCAGCCAAGGCTTTGTCTACCCAGGGCTTCAACACCTCCAAGGATGGAGACTGCACCGCCGCTCTGGGGAGCCTGCTCCAGTGCTTCACCGCCCTCCTCGGGAGAGAGTTTTTCCCAATATCCAACCTCAACTTCCCTTGCTGCAGTGGAGCCCATTGCTCCTTGTCCTGCCATCTGCTCCCACTGAGCACAGCCCAGCTCCATCCTCTCTGCAACCCCGCTGCAGGGATGGGAGAGCAGGACACAGCTGGCTCCCAGCAGTGTAGCCGGGGCTGTACGGACTGTGATCCAGGCTATAAACCTACCCGAGATGGGCGGGGGCCGACCCCCACTGAATCCTGATGCCGACTCCCCCAGCTGCAAAGGACACGGGGAGCGGAGATGGGAACAGAGAGGCAGCATTTCTGGGCTGCGCGGAGCCGGCAGAGGAGAGAAGTGTGGGGCCATCGGCTCCACATTGCAAGGCTAAAGCCCAGCAGGACAGCGATGGCCCCGCTCGGTGCCCTGGCAGGTGGCTGGCAGGGCTGCCACCAAGGTCCAGGAGGAATGATGCTCCCAGGGGACCTGGCCCAGAGGCAGGGAGAAGGGCCCAGCAGCCTGGTGGTGCTGGGGCAGTCATTCACCTGACAGGGCTGCAACGTAACGTGCACCTAGACCAGGTGCCGGTGCCCGTGCCCGTGCCAAAGCCCTGGGCAAAGCACGTGGGTAAGGACGGGCCCGAGCACAAGCCGAGGCTGGGTTGGGGAGCAGCTGTCCAAGGGGCCACTGCAGAGGAAGCCGCTTGGCAGGGGAGAGGCACGAGCACGCGGATGGTGCACAGCTCGCAAACCAGAACATATCGAGGCACTTGGCTCCGGCCATTCATATGGGCCTGGCAGGAGTGCAAGCCTCACACCCCGCTTGGCAGCCGCCTCCCTGCTCGCTGCCAGCCCTGGACACCCCTGCCCCAGCGCGGGGGGAAGCAGGCTGCCCTGCCCTGGCCGCGGCGTGAGTACGAGCAGCGCCCTGCCGCCTGCCAGGCCTGGCCCTTCCCCTCCACGCTGCGCGGCTCGTCTCTGCCGGGTCCGATCATCCTCCCCTGCTCCTGCTCCCCCTTATCTCGTGTCCTCCGGAGCCGTGCACGGGCAGAGGGACCGCATCCCCCGCCCGCCCCGGTCCTCTCCGGATGGCTGCAGGACCTTCACTTTGCCCTGCTGCTTCACAGCGCAGGGGTGTCGAATACAGGGCCCCGCCGGGGACCGGGGGAGAGGTGGGGCTCCCCCAAGAAAGCCTCTGTGTGCTGTCAGAGCCACGCTGGGCTGCATGCCTCGCTCCGCCAGACGCCATCCTCTGCCAGACACCATGCTCTGCAGCCGGAGCTGAGGCAGGGGCTGGGAGACGAGGCTTCCTGCTGCCAGACACAAACCTCCCGGCCTGCCCTGGCTCCAGGACATGAAATGCTTTTGCACCAACGTCACCTCTTCTGGGAGGCAGGTCTGCAGAGCTGCCCCTGCTTTCAGACCCCCGCCTGGGCCTGTCTCTGCGCCTCCACGAAGGCCCTGCGGGAAGGGGCCGTGCGGTTCTGCAGCGCCCCGGGCCCGGTGCATCATGCAGGCCAGCCCCGGAGTCGGTGTTTTTGTCCCTGCTCTTTCACGTGGAACGGGTCTTAAACGGCTTTATGATTTCTACGGTGCGCTGGCTCCGGCTGGAAGCCACCTGGCCGTGCCGCGCAGATCCGGGGCAGCGCGACCCGGGAACCGATCCATTTGTCGCTCCTTCAACCCGAGCCGTTGTCTCTGCTGCAGCCCTTCCCACCCGGCCCTTCTCCCTGCCCCACACATGATAACTAAGGGGAGGATGCCTCCCCCCCGCCCCTACGGACCCCGCGCACCCAGCTGGGTGCCCGGGACAATAGGGTTTAGGTGCGTCCT